CGCCTTCTTTTCCAAGCAGCAGACCGCATACTAGACCCCCCCCCCCCCCCCCCGCTCATACGCCCCCTCCTCCCCCCCCTCCAATTCTGTCCCTTCACCCCCCCCTCCAATTCTGTCCCTTCACCCCCACCCCTATTCCGTTCCTTTTCCCACCCCCGCCCCAGTTTTTCTCTCTTTTCTCCCCCCAACTCTGTTTTTGTCCCTATCTCTTGGCCCTCCAAACCCATCTTAAATGACCTGTTGTAAGTCTATCTTGAACATTCTGTGCTCGTTAACTGATTTTCACTGTGGCTTTTTTAATTTTCAGGGAAATACGAGTATGATTTGTTGGTGATTGGAGGTGGTTCTGGTGGCCTTGCCTGTTCTAAAGAAGGTATAATTTATTTACACTAAACAGAGTGCTTAAAATTGAGGATATAGTCATACAGCATGGAAACAGACCCTTCAGTCCAACTAGTCCACACCGATCACATCCTCAAACTAAACTAGTCCCACTTGTCTATGCTTGGTCCATCTCCCTCCAAACCTTTCCTATTTATTGTAACTGTACATGCGTTCACCACTGCTTCTGGCAATTCAGTCTGTGCACGAATCATTCTCTGTACAATAAAATAGTTGCCCCTCATGTCTTTTTTAAAAACTTTCCCCTCTTTGCTTAAAAGAATGCCCCCTAGTTTTGAACTCCTGCCACTTTAGGGAAAAGATCCTTGCTATTCACTTTATTCAAACTCCTCATGATTTTACAGGGTTCTACATTTCTGCAGAGTCTCCCTTCAACCTCCTATGCTCCAGTGGAAGAAGTCCCAGCCTATTTTTATAACTCAAACCCTTTGTTCCTACCAACATCTTGGTAAATATTTTCTGAACCCTTTCCAATTTAATAATATCCTTCCTGTACCAGGGTGACAAAAACTGCGCGTGGTACTCTGGAAGAGGCCTCACCAATGTCCTGTACAACCTCAACATGATGCCCAAACTCCTATGCTCAAAAGGTCTGAGCAATGAAGGCAAATGTGCGAAATGCCTTCATGGCGGCATGATGGCTCAGTGGTTAGCGCTGCTGCCGCACAGTACGAGGGACCTGGGTTCGATTCCAGCCTCGGGCGACTGCCTGTGTGGAGTTTGTACATTCTCTGGTTTCCTCCCACCATCCAAAGATGTGCAGGCTAGGTGGATTGGCCATGCTAAATTGCCCGTAGTGTTCAGGGATGTGTAGGTTAGGTGGTTTAATAGGGATTGTTCCGGGTGGGATGCTCTGAGGGTCGGTGTGGACTTGTTGGGCTGACAGGCCTGTTTTCACACTGTAGGGATTCTAAGTCACTTCTTTAAAAATAAACCCACATCCTGACATATCTCTCACTATGCCATTACTATTCAGGGGGTCCAACCTTGATTCAGAGAGGAGTCCATGAGTGTGCCCAGAGCAGGAGGAGACCTCTCTTAAAACTCGAGGTGTTAAATCACTGATGTGTATCACAGGATTGTATGCGCTAAATAGTATTCTGTAGACAGAGTAAAGCAATCCTACAACTGTGGGATTCAATCAAAGCTCTCTGCAGTCCTACCACATACAGTTGTGAAAGGTGGTGGAGAATTAGCCAACTAAAGGGAAAAGGACACTCCATGATCATCCCTGTGCTGAACGATGGCAGAGCTCACCACATGAGTGCAAAAAACAAAGCGTCAGCCTTTAGGTCAAGGCAAGCATTTGATGTAGTTTGGCATCAAGGAGTTGTGGCAAAAGTTCAGGTATAAATCAGGAAAATTTTTCTGGTTACCGTTGTACTAGCACCAAGAAAGATGGCTACAGTTACTGGAGGTTAGTTATCTCAGTCCAGAAGTATCAATGCAGGTATCCTCAGGATTTTGTCCTGGCCCTGAACATCTTCAGCTACTTCACCAATGACAGTCTCTCCCTCGTGATGTCACGAATCATTCTGTGTCCCAATGTGGTGAGACTTGGACAACTTTCAGGTTTGGGCTGAAAAGCAGCAAAAAAAAAGTGCCATCCAATGACTGTTTCCAACAAGCTAGAATCTAACCACAGCCCCTTGACGCTTAATGGTATTACCATCGTTGAATCTCCCACTATCACCCCTTGGGTAGTGCAGTTGACCACAAACTGAACTGGACCAGCCATGTAAATACTGTGGCAAGAAGAACAGTTCAGAGGGTAGGAATTCTGTGGTGAGTAACTCGCATCCTGTCTCTACAAAACCTGTCCACCATCTACAAAGTATAAATCAGGGGTGTGATGGAGTACTCCCCACTTGCCTGGCTGAGTGCAGCTCCAACACCATTCAAGAAGCTTGACACTGTTCAGGACAAAACAGCCCAATTGATTGGAACCCTGTCCACCACCTTAAAACATGGACTTGCTTCGCCACTGACATACAGTGGCAGCAGTGTGTACTGTCTGCAAGATTCCCTATAGTAGCTCACCCAAGACTCTTCTGACAGCTCCTTCCAAATCTGCAACATGCAGAAGGACCAGGCCAGCAAGTACATTGCAATACCAATGTCTATGCGTTCCCCTTCAAGCCACCTGTCATTCTGACTTGGAAATATATCACTTGCTTCATTGCTGAGTCAGAATCTCCAAAGTCCTTTTCGATCAGCCCTGTGAATGTCCTTATTCCCCAAGGATTGCAGCTGTTTAAGAAGGCAGCTCATCACCACCACCTCCTCCAGGGCAATTTCGGATTGGTGTTAAATACTGGCCTAGTCAGTGATGCCTACGCCCATAAACAACAAATTACAAAAAGAAAGGCTGTGGTTGTTCCACGCAAAACATCTCAGTTCCAAGACTTGTGTGTGAGTTCTTCAGGATAGTATCCCAGGCTCAATCACTTTTAGTACTTCATCAATGACTTTGCGTCCATCGTAAGATTGAAAGTGGGCATGTTTGATGATTGTGCAGTCTGCAGTATCGTTTATCTTTGGTATTGGATGGCAAGTAACATTTGTGCCGCACAAGTGTCAGGCAATGACTGTCGCCAGCAGTGAATCTAATCAACTCCCGCTCCCTGACATTCAATCATATTATCACTTCAATACCCCAATGCTTCTGTTGCATGGTTATCGCTACAGACCAAAACTATAACTTGAGCAATCATTTAGATGCAGTGTCTTTAAGACTTGGGCAAATGTTGGGTTTTTTTCTGTTCACAGTTTTGATTAGTTAAATGATCCCTAGTTTGTCCATCCAGTTGCATAATGACTTCACTATGAATAAAGTCACCAAACAGGAAATGTATTAGTGATAATGTTTGGAAGAACTCCCCACTTGAAAACCCTACTTACTGTTTCCAAAGTGTAGCATAGAACCACTTGCCAGAGTGCAGTGCACTTCCCTTTTGTCTTATTCCTCTTACTGTTTCCTACGCTATTTAAAGTGCCTGAACACTCCTGTTGATGGAGCTACGTTGTTGAGTACAAAGATTTCCGCACAGTGGGTTAAAATACTGGCCAAAATTAAGGTGTGTTATATAAAAAAATATTAAACTTTTTAGCTTCAGTGTAAGTTACTCTGATTCATGTTTTAATAAGCTAATTATTTATGTACCTGTTTCCTACCATATTGTTACTTTTTTTGGTTTCTCTGTATCTTTTGATGCTAATTTTTCTTTTAAATGACCTTTTTAAAAATTTATTTTGTGAATAGGCTTGATATATTCCAGCAGGCAAGCAATTTATTTGTAATAATGACCACCATCCTTGAGAAGAAACTTTAAACTCATGCCTTATCTGCCTTTTTTGGGTAAATGTTGGAGATCTTTGTTTTTAATCCATTTGTTGGATGTAGCCACTGCTGTCTAGGTCAATATTTGTTGCCCATCCGTAATTACCCACCAACTTCTTGTACAGCTCCAGATATACATTGGTACATCCACAGCAGCATTAGGGTGGGAGTTCCAGGATTTTGGACCCAAATACTCTCATGCCACCATTGCAGATGCTGTTCCTCCAGCGTCCTGGCTAACAATCTCACCATTTTGGCCAAATCCAAATTTTTTTGAATGCTTATCCCACATCACTGTGTGAGCAGCTCAGTGCTTCAGGAATTGTGCCTGCTGTTCAAAACAATTAACCTCCTGTAATTTGTTTTGGAATTTGAGGTGTGATAACGTTATGAAAAGTCATCTAGATTCGAAATGTTAGCTTGTTTTGACTCCATGGATGCTGCCTGACCCGCTGTGATCTCCAGCCTTTTTTTTTTGTTTTCAATTATGAAATATAAGTTCTTTTTCTGTGTTTTGCTGTGGTGGTCAGTCTAAATCAGATATTTTGATAAATTATGTTAAAGTGCTTTATTTCCTTGCTATTATTGTTGTTGTGCAAGTGCTCAAAAGTTTATAAGTTGTGAGTAGCACGTGCTGAGATAAGTGGAAGGGAAGAACAAGGAGTGGTGTTATTAGTAAATAGGTCTAATTAAGATTAATAGACCAGGACTAATGATTAAGATGTAAGTTTAAATTGCTGCTTAATGGTGAAGAATTTAAATTCAGTTAATTAAATAAAACCAGCATTGAAAGTTAACATGGTGATCATTGATTATTATAAACACCATTTGCTTCACTGCTCTCCAGGGAAGGATATTAGCTGTCTTTATCTGCTCTCAGCTACTTATGACTCCAGTGTCATAGCAATATGGTTGACTCTTGACTGTCTTCTGAGTATCCTAACACCATTCCACTGGATGGGCAATAAACGCTGAAACTTGTCAGCTATGCTCATATTCCATGAATAAATCAAAACTAATTCACTTCACTGATTGGACTTTATGTTTAATAAGCACATACTAAAGTCTAGAAATATTGAAGGCAGGTAATTGACAGTGCAGAATTTTAAATACAGGGAGGAGGATGAGTTAATCAGGCTGAAAAATAAAACTTGTAAGATCCTTAGGTTTTACAAAAAAGATACAAAGTACAAACAGCAAAAGGTGACGCTAAACCTGTAGACATCACTGGTTATGCCAGGGTTAAATTATGTGTCCACTTTTGGATGTCTTACTTTAGGAATGATATCAAGACCATAGAAATGGTCTGGGCATCGGCCATGATCTGTTAAGATAATACCATTAATAGGCTTTAGTTGTGATGGGAAACAAAATATACTGGAGTTTTCTCCTTTAGAATGGAAGAGGTTAAAGGGAGGTCAGATAGAGATTTTGGAAAGGTAATTGAGGAAAATTATTTTCAACATAGGTATCTGGGGGAGCAGGTTAGGAGAAAAGGATTGTTAGGAAACCGAATGCTGCATAGGGAACAATTATCAAAATAATATCCATAATAGCTTTTAAGAGGCAAGGGAATACATTTTTGAAAAAGCAAAATTTCCACTGTATAAACAGGCAATTTGTTCCAAATGGACCATATTATTGGAAATAATTCTCACAAGCCTCTTCTCATTCTCCATCTCCTTGTTAGCATCATTTTTTTATATCTTTCTCCCTCATGTTTTCGTAGATTCCCTTTAGTGAATCTCTACTATTTTGCTTCACTGCTCTCTATGCATTCTGGCTTCTAATAGCTCCCTGGATAAAGAATGCTGGGAAAGAAAAGGAGAGCAGGGGCAAGTGGATGACTTTCAGAGAGTTGGTGCAGGTGCAGTGGCTTGCAAATAACTCATACTGCCATGTACTGTATCAAAATAAATTAAACTTTATTATACTGTAAAATTTAATTTGAATTGTTATGTAATGTACTTTTGAAGCATTTTATGAATAAGGTGTATATTTTGAGGGAAACTATGCTGTGTTCTGGATTAGTTCAAGTTGCTCCCTCAAGACACACTCAGCCACTCAAGGGACAGAGCTGCTTTGTGATGACTTTCCAAGTTCCACCGTTCACAGACCTTTATCTTCTCAGTGTCTTGCACACAAAGATTCTGTCTTTGCTTAAGTAACAAATAAATGAATTGTCCACAAAAAGAATTCTTAATTAAACCACCAGGTGGAGTACTTCCTTTTTGGGAAATGGGAACCTAAGCGATGAATCGCCTCACCGGGTCAAGCTTATGGAAAAAGGAATGTGACTAATTTGACATTTTTGTGCATTTGCTAGTGTCTTTCTAAAAAGTGTATACCAGGATATAAAATTCTCCCTCTTTCTAATGTATTTTGCGCCTTCCCTTGTGCCACACATTGTCCCCAAGCGAGTGACCAGGCATTTTTTTCCAATATCTCCTGCGCAAACCGGTGAGAGGTTGGTGTGTGAGTGAAATGTGGAGAGTGGTATAACCTCCCAACACCAGTATCATATTATTGTCCTAGTTACTGTTTTTTTTTTTTGCTGCTGTGTAAAGTAGATATAGAGCCTAATCGCTGTTTGTCTTTAATTCACTGCAGCGGCCCAGTATGGCAGAAAAGTAGCAGTGTTAGATTTTGTGAAGCCATCCCCTAAAGGTAAGATTCCCTTGTTAAATGCAACAACTGCTTACAGCTAGGATGGTTCATTTATATCTATCTATTGTTGAATTTTAACATTATAGTTCAAATGGTATGGCATTGTAATTTGAGTGCTGTCACTACATTGCTGTTATTATTGTCTTCAATCAACGTTAAAAAATTGCCACAAAAGTCACTCAGACAGTCCTGCCAGAGTGCTGGAATATGTTCCAGTTTCAATTTTCTTGTTGGAACTGTATTTTAGATGAATGCAACTACTTCACTAAATTAAGGTTTATGACCTGACTACTTAACATAGAAATAATAGAAACTTTGAAGGCACGGCCTTTTGACCCATTTGTTGTCAGCCAAAAGAAGAGTTATGCAACTGATTCCCACTTTCCAGCTCTTGGTCATAGTTTTGTAGGTTAGGGTGCCTCAAGTGCAGATCCAGTAGTTTCTTAATGTGATGTGTCTTTCTGCCTCTGTCAACCCATCAAGCAGTGAGTGCCAATCCCCATCACCCTCCGATGAAAAACTCCTGAACTTCCTTCCAATCCTTCAACATATGCCCCCTGTTTGTTAATCTTTCTTCTAAAGAATTGGTCCTTCCACTCCCTCTCGGCCACTATTAATTTTCTGCACTTCATAGAATCGTAGATCATACAATCCCTGCAATGTGGAAACAAGCCCTTCGGCCCAACAAGCGCTCAGAGCATCCCACCAGACCTATCCCCTATAACCCACCTAATCTACATATCCCTGAACACTATGGGCAATTTAGCATGATCAATCCACCTCGCCTGCACAAATCTTTGGACTGTGGGAGGAAACCGGAGCACTTGGATGAAACCCACACAGACACGGGGAGAATGTGCACACTTCACACACAGTCACCTGAGGCTGGAATTGAACCCAGGTTCCTGGCATTGTGAGGCAACAGTGCTAACCACTGAGCCACCGTGCTAACCTAGCTTCAATTAAATCTTCACTCGGCCTTCTCTTCTGCAAAGTTGATAACCTCAGCCTTTCCAATCTCTCCTTCTCACAGTAATTCTCCATTTCTGGTGCCATCCTTGTAAATCCCCTCCAATTGTCTCTAATCTGATGACAAATAGTGAATACATATTTAGATAAGATAGTGTCATGTAATTTTGTGACTTATTTCAGACAAATAGTTCTTTTGTCTTCTACTTTCTTTCTCTCTCTCTCTCTCTCACTTCATTCCCCCCCGCCACCACCACCACCGCCATTCCCTCCCTCCTCCCCCCACCAATCTTTGAAAGACCTCAACTTGACCTGGGTTCGGTTCCACAAATGTCCACATGTCTGAAGTCATTCTCTGCCTTGCCCAAGTGACCATTTCTCAGATGTGGCCAGGTGGTGAAAATGAGTGAAATTTCTTTGGATGCACAGCAATTAGAATCCCTACAGTTTGGAAGCAGGCCATTTGGCCCATCAAGTCCACACCAACCCTCCGAAGAGTATGCCACTCAGACCCATTTCCCACCCAAGAAACTATGGGTAATTTAGCATGGCCAATCTACCTAACCTGCACATCTCTGGACTGTGGGAGGAAACTGGAGCATCCGGAGGAAACCCACACAGACACTGGGATAATGTGCAAACTTCACACAGACAGTCGCCCGAGGGTGGAATCAAACCCAAATCTCTGGTGCTGTGAGGCAGCAGTGCTAACCACTGAGAGACTGAAATAAGATGATGTTATTTGGACTTCATGTCGAGGTATCCAACTGCAATCTTTGTATTTCCCTAAATTACCATGAATAATAAGCTGCTCCTCGATGGAAGTGACAAAACCAGTTGTACCAACTTGTTGAAAGTTGACTGTAGCATCTTGGACCTCCTGGCAAACCTCAATTTTGCTGCCCAGGTTGAGCTGAACTTTAGTTATACTGCTGAGCGAAGCCCTGCTCCAGGACACAAAACAAGCTCTGATTTTCTTATACTTGAGAGGCTTGAACTTTGTCTGCCATCCCCTGCCACTCATGAGCCCCAACTCCACCATTTTCCAGAAATAAAAGGAAAGTGCTGGAGAAACTCAGCTGATCTGGCAGCATCTGTGGGAAGAGAAACAAATTTAACATGTTGAGTCCAGTATAACTCTTCTTTGGAACCAACTGTTTCTCTCTCCCCAGATGTTCCGTGACCTGAGGCTCTGTAGCATTTCCTGTTTTTGTTTCAGATCTCCAGCATCCGCAGTACCTTCCTTGGACAGCTCTTCCCTTGCACTTCTTCATGTAGCACTTCCACCACCTGTTTAAATCCAACTTGATTTCAGCTGATGTTTGGCCTGTTCTACTAGGCGTTCCTTTACAGTTGGCTGATGGCAGATCCTTTCTTTCCTTAAATTCAACTTTCAAAGTTTAACACTCCTGTCTCCACTCCCTGGTGTGTGTGCGCACTCGCATTAACTCTCCCTCACACTGGCTCTGTCTCGTACAGTCACGCCTTACACCCTGACTCCTCTGTGTTTTTCTGTGTCTCCGTGCTCCTGTTACTACAGATGAACAAGTGCAGCAATTCAAAATGAAATTATTATCATGTATCCCCCTTCTTAAGATACAAAATATAGTTAAACTTAGTTATATAATTGTTCTTCCCTTAAGACATATACTTAAAATCCACACATGGATCATAAGACAAATGAAGAGGTACTTGAAATTGCAAGAGCAGAAAACCTGTTTCAAAAAAAAAGTGAAATGAAGCCGTCAGTATTTTGGCCATTTGATCAGACCTGAAAAGCTACAGAGATCTGAACTAGAGAGCAAAGGGAGGGTTGCAGAAAGCAGGGTCAGCCTAGATGAATTTAGTTGACAGATGTCAAACAGTGGTTGCAGATGTGTTACAGTGGATGTGTGAGAATGGCACAAGACAAACAAGGGTGGATAGCATTGACAGCAGATTATCTGGCAGGAGAAGCTGCAAGCAGGACAGGAAAAGGGAATAAAACAAAAAATGTATTTTCCTCATTAACATAAATTTGTGAACTGCTAATCAATTTCACTTGCACTGGAGCTCCTGCTACTGCATTGGGATAGGAAGTCTATGCCATCAACGTCATCGTGGAACCGGAAGACATTGTCCGGTGCAATCATAAAATCTCTACAGTGGGGAAGCATGCTGTTTGGTCCATCGAGTTCACATCGACCTTCTAAACAGCATTCCACCTAGACCCACCCCTATCCCTGTAACCCTGCATTCCCCATGGCTAATCCATCTAACCTATTACGTCCCTGGACACCATGGGCAATTTAGTGTGCCCAGTCCACCTAACCCGCACATCTTTTGAACCATGGGAGGAAACCAGAGCAAACCCACGCAGACACGGTGAGAATGTGCAAGCTCCACACACATAGTTGCCTGAGGCTGGAATTGAACACAGGTCCCTGGCACTGTGAGGCAGTAGTGCTAACTGCTGAGCCACTATGCTGAGCAAGAAAGCAAGAGGTTGAGTGGGGTGGGCCGTTTGAATGTGATTCCAAAAAGGCAATTGAGTTGATTTCAAACATTTGAAGATAAATCTCTGTTGGTCCTATTCTATGACACACTTACCTGTGCCATTACAGGCAGCACTTTACCAGCACTGTGACTGCAATGTGCACTAAGTGCATCTATTGTTGCAGTGGCAGTGATTTATGTGAAAAGTAACCACTTTGCTTCCAAAGAATTGAATCAGATGCTATCTCATTTCTGAAGCAGATGGTTCAGGGTTCAAGATCTATTCCTGAGATTTGAATGTATAATCAGGTCTCACATTTTGATACCAATGGTATGCTGCCCTGTTGGAACTGCCATCTTTTGGATGAGATTTAACCTGAGGCCCAGTCTGCCTGTGTAAAAGATGCATTGGGATGTCCTGATGGGAGGAAAAGCATTGGAGGAATAAAGTATTTTTTTTCTTCATTCAGTCTCCATTTTTTTTGCTTTAGAATCTATTTTGTTGCAAGAAAATGTGCACCTTATAGTATATCATTGTTTGCTATCTTGCAGGCACCACATGGGGTCTTGGTGGAACTTGTGTCAATGTGGGCTGTATTCCCAAAAAGCTAATGCACCATGCAGCTCTGCTGGGGGGTGCCATTAAAGATGCCAAGAATTATGGCTGGGATATACCCTTACCTGTACACCATGACTGGTATGTTCAAAATTTAATGTGAAAATAAATAGCATTAACTATTTGATCGCTTATTGATGATGGGTATTACAGCTGAAGGTCCTGAGATGTAGTGAGGCGTTTATTCCAGGAGGATGGATTATACACACTGTCAAATAATACATCATGAGAGGAGTGCAGTAGTCCTTACTCAGGTTAAGAGGAGCATAGAATTAAGTGGTTGTTCATGCTTCCAAGGTATTTGCTGCACAGACATTTTGGCAGAAACCTGAGAGCGTGCTGCTTTGTTTCCGCTGTTCATAGGGAATGATACTTAGAAACAATAAGGTATAATTTGTCTCCTTCTATCTGCGGTCAACAAGTGTCAGCATGACTCAGAAAAATTCTAACTGCAGAGTCAGAAAATTTTGAGATTTCAATCCTGACCTCCAAAAAAGCCTTGAGTGTACAATTTAGGAGGTCACTTCAGTGCAGTACTGTGGGAGCGCTGCATTGACTAAGATGCCATCTTTTAATGAGATGTCCAGCAGTTCACGGATATGTGAAAGATCCTGTGTTACTAATCAAAGACAAGCAGGTCGTTCTAGTTGCTTTGCCAACGTTGCTTACTGAAAACAACAGTATCATAAGCACATTAATTGGTCATTTTTCTCATTTACTGTTCGTGGGATCTGCAGTTTAATTTAAGTACACTACCCCATTAATAGTTAATTGTGAAGAGTTTTTGAATGGCATGTGGATGTGATCAGGGGCCATTGAAATGCATTTTATTTCAGTTATAATTGCAAATACTTGGGTGGTTTTGCTTTGTAAGTTGTGCTTTTGCATTGTTAGAGCCAGTTTGTTTATCTCTGTCTCAGCCTCTTGAAAGCTTCAACTCGTTAACCTGAAACTTGCAGACGAAGATGTGCAATTGGCTCCTTTTATTCCTCTCTACCTCCCCTTGTCCCTGGATACTTGTTGATGTGTGGTAACATGGGTAGCAGTTCACCTAAATGTGAGATGAGTTTCTGTGCCGTGCATGCTTTTTTTTTTGCTATTATAAAAACCATAAGGTAATGCAAGTAATTTAGGCAACTTTACTACATGGTAACTGGAATGTTTTTCCCCTTGTGCAAGCAATAATTTCTACTTTCCTTGCACCTGGAGCATCTGGAGTCCTGCCGTGCAATTGACTATGATTTATTGTGCATATGGGTAATGAGGAGTTCAATTAATGTTTACACTCCCAGATAACTAGGAACTTTTGTGGTTAGCATAAAACTACCAGTCATAACATGTACCTTAATTAAAGTGTTTCACTAGCAGAGCCATTTAAAAACAACATGGCTATGAAGAATTATAATATTCCTGACCTCTTTTACTTCTGTTCCGCTTAATTAATTGGTGGGAGTTGGGTGGAGCGATGCATTTAAATAACCTCCTGACCTGACTGTGAGGGCGCAGAAGTGATGTCTGTATGAATTATTGTAATGGAAACTTGGAAATGTCACTTTTGAAACATAAAAGTTGCTCATTTTTAAGTGTATTTGTGGTAAATCACAGTTAGTAGGATTCTTCCAAATACAAAATGTCTCCCCTGGTTCCTGGAAGTTTGTTTGCATCAAATAAACTATTTCTGTCGTCTAACGTCGGTTCAGGAAAACTTACCAACATTGACTGGATGGTTTACTTAACTAGGACTGCGGATAAGGTTGTTATTGGTGCTGACCAGCTACTTAGGATTTTGAATGACTAAGATTGTCACTATATTACAGCTCATTAGTTACAAGCATGTTAATCCCCTACTAAGTAGTATCTGTGCCTCTCAACACCTTTTTAGATTTGCACAGTTGTGTGACTGGAAACGTTACCTGTGTTTTAGAAGTGTAGAAACTGAGGGAAACCATTTGCTATTCAACAAGATTATGACTGATGAACTTCAGCTTCACCTCCCCACAATATCACTGTACCCCTTGATTGCCTTATTATCCAAAATCTGTCAACCTCTGTTTTTAATGTACTCATTGACTATACATCCAAAGTTTTCCAGAATGGATAAGGAATTCTAAAAATTCACAATCGTTTTGAGTAAATACATTTCTCCTTATCTCGGCCGTAAGTAGTTGACCCCATATGATTTTGCTTTGTACCGTTTTATAGGATAGAGCTAATGTGTGCATTTAATCAGATTTTAGATATTAAGGAACCTTCTGTGACACTCTGCTTTTCCAACCAAATTGTTTTACTCCTTCTTGGGATGTGAGCATCACTGACAAAGCAAGCGTTTGTTGCCATCCCTAATTGCCTTTGAGAAGGTTGTGGTGAACTGCTTTCTTAAATTGTTACAATCTATATGGTGTGAATACAATCACAGTGCTGGAAGTGGCGACAGGTATTTCAGCGACAGTGAAGAATGGGCAATATAGTTCCAAGTCAGGATGATGTATTGCTTGGAGGAGGTCTTGCAGGCAGTGGTGCTCCCATAAATCTATGCCCTTTCTTCTTAGCGGTGCAAGTCACGGATTTGAAAGGTGCTGTCAAAGGAAGTGACTTAGTGAGTTGTTGCAGTGCATCCTGCAGATGGTACAGGGAGTTAATGTTGGTTGGAGTACATATTGAATGGGCTGCTTTGTCTGGATTGTGTCAACCTTCTTGAGCGTTGTTGGAGTTCCAGAAATCTAGGCAAGTATTCCAGCACACTCCTAATTTGCACCTTTGTTGGCAGGCTTTGAGATATCAAAAGGTGGTGCTTTCAGTTGTTGAACGTCAAGGGGAGATGGTTAGATTCTTGCTGGAGATAATGTCTGACAATTATATGGCTTGAATATTGTTTGCCATTTATCCACCCATGTGGTAATGTTAGTGAAATACCTGTGAGCATTCATTTTTTACATCAAAGGTCAGACAGATTGAAAGTGTAATTTTCCAGGGAAATTACATAATATGACATGTTTTATTGTTTTGTAACAGAATCTGTACTCTATCAATCTCTTGTGTCTAACGTGTTCCTGTTCTTGTTTCAAATTCTTAAACCTGGTCTGTAAAACCTTGATGTCTCGGATTCTCCAGCATCTGCAGTTCCTAAAATCTCTGTAACATATGGCATATTATTTATGAATTACCATGGTCAAGTGATACATTTATTGTATTTTCATTATACTATTTATCAATTCACCCCATGGCTAACTATCCCAAAATAATTTAAATTCAAGTTCAGGATGAAGATCATAGGAACTGTCTGGGCTTGTCTGCACTGGACTAAGAAAAGGGCAAGAAGCTCTACATTTTTTTATTCATTTGTGGGATGTGGGCGTCGCTGGCTGGCCAGCATTTCTTGCCCATCCCTAGTTGCCCTTGAGAAGGTGGTGTTGAGCTGCCTCCTTGAACTGCTGCATTCCTCCTGCTGTGGGTTGACCCACAATGCTGTTACAGAAGGAATTCCAGGATTTTGTCTCCGCGACAGTGATGGAATGACCATATATTTCCAAGTCAGGATTGTGAGTGACTTGGAGGGGAACGTGGAGGTGGTGATGTTCCCATATATCTGCTGCCGTTGTCCTTCTAGATGGAAGTGGTCGTGGGTTTGGAAGATGCTGTCTGAGGATCTTTGGTGAATTTCTGCAGCACATCTTGTAGATAGTACACACTGCTGCTACTGAGCGTCGGTGGTGGAGGGAGTGAATGCTTGTCGATGTAGTGCCAGTCAAGCGGGCTGCTTTGTCCTGGATGGTGTCAAGCTTTTTGAGTGTTGTTGGGGCTGCACCCGTCCAGGCAAGTGGGGAGTATTCCATCACACTCCTGACCCATCACACTCCTGACTTGTGCCTTGGAGATGGTGGACAGGCTTTGAGGAGTCAGGAGGTGAGTTACTTGCCGCAGTATTCCCAGCTTCTGACCTGCTCTTATAGCCACTCCGTTAATGTGGTGAGTCCAGTTGAGTTTCTGGTCAGTGGTAACCCCCAAGATGTTGATAGTGGGGGATTCAGTGATGGTAACACCATTGAATGTCAAGGGGCAGTGGATAGATTGTCTCTTATTGGTGATGGTCATAGCCTGGCATTTGTGTGGTGCAAATGTCATTTGCCACTTGTCAGCCCAATCCTGAATATTGTCCAGATCTTGTTGCATGTGAACATGGACTGCTGCAATATCTGAGGAGTCGTGAATGGTGCTGAACATTGTGCAATCATTGGCGAGCATCCCCACTTCTGACCTTATGATGGAGGGAAGGTCATTGATGAAGCAGCTGAAGATGGTTGGGCCTAGGACACTACCCTGAGAAACTCCTCCAGAGATGTCCTGGAGCTGAGATGATTGACCTCCCACAACCACGACCAACTTCTTATGTGTCAGGTATGAGTCCAACCACTGGAGAGTTTGCCCCCTGATACCCATTGATTCCAGTTTTGCCAGGGC